TTATCAATGTAAAAAGCATACAGCTCTTACCTTATAAGGAATACAAGGTTATGCTAGAGCCGTATTTGAGTGACCATGGTCTGGGAACACAAATTTAGATTGCCCCGAAATTATGTATCAACATGGAAGCCATTTCATGAATTCTGTAGTTTTACAGAACAAAGAAAATCATAAATCAAGGCAAATTTAAAATACATTGGAGGGTACACTAGAGAGGCAGGTATGGTGAGATGGAGGAAGTTTTTCTGTAGGCCTCAGATGCTACCTGATAATATTCAGAGACTTTGAGTTGGTGGAAGCTAGTAAGTAGTCTATTAAGTCAATAGATTTCAAAAGGTTTTCATTTATTGGCCATGGGATGTTAGTTATAACAGAGGTGGGCAAGGAATGGCTGCTGAAGTGGCTAAATCTATCCCAAGCTAAAATAATTAGCGTCTGGATCCATACGTAACATTCCAACCTCTCCATGTCAGTGCAGCTCTTTTTTTTTTTTTTAAGAAATTTATTTATTTACTGTACATTCAGGCATCAGTTTTCTCTCCCTCTTCTCTCAGTCCCTCCCCCAACCCCCCTCTGCCCCCATCCCCCAATCTGTTTCCCCCTCCTCTGTTTCTGTTTAGGAAAGGGCAGGTCTCCCATGGATATCAACAAAACATGGCATATCGAGTTACAGTAAGACTAAGCACCTCCCCGTGTATTAAAGGCTGCACAAGGGGACCCAGTATGAGGAGTAGGGTCTCCAAAGTCAGTAAAAGAGTCAGAGACAAGCCCTGTTTCCACTGTTAGGAGTCCCACAAGAGAATCAAGCTGCACAACTGTAACATATATGCAGAGTGCCTAGGTCAGTCTAATGCAGGCTCCCCGGTTGTCAGTTCAGTCTCTGGGAGCCCCTATGAGCCCAGGTTAGTTGGTTCTGTGAGTTTTTCTGTGGTGTCCTTGACCCCTCTGGCTCCCACAATTCTTTCTCGCCCTCTTCTGCAGGATTCCCTGATCTCCGCCTAATGTTCGGCTGTGGGTCTGCATCTGTTTCCATCAGTTGCTGGATGATGCATCTCTGATCTGTAAAGGATAACTATGCTACAATCCACAGACTCAGAGAAACTAGGTAACAAGGAGGGTTTGTTTGGGGGGGATGTATGGATCTCCCTGGGAAGGGAAATAGAAGAGTTTTTGTGAGTGGACTGAGGGTGGGTGGGAACATGAGTGATCAGGTTGGGGAGGGTCGTAGGGGAAGAACACTGAAAGAGACTACTGGAAAGAGGGGGCATTTGGGGTCAGGTAAAAATCTCCACAAGGGAATCTACAAGGATGACCGCAGCTCAGAATCCTAACAACAGCCTCTATGTAACCTGGACTGGCCGCCTCCTGCGGCCAGACTGGTTCCTAACCCAGTTATCACTGCGGTTCTAATCAGTCAGTCAGTCTTTGTAGACACAGGTTCTTTCCAGGAATTCTCATTGACAACATGAAGATGTATACCCTGCCCCCCAGATTATATTGGTCTTTTTTTGTAGACGGCTATGCTTCAGCAATGTGGCTACCACAGTGTCCTGAAGGGGAGCAGCCTCTGACAGTCAAGTTCATTGTCTTAGATTCCCATCCAGATTAATTAGGGGGCACAACTATAGCACAAGCCGGGGTAGGGTTGGTCTTGTGAAAGAATACTGGATTAAGGAAACCGTTGAGATGGTATGAACTTTAAATAAGCGAAAATGTCTGAGAGGGGACTGCAGAGGGGGCTCAGTAGTAGTGCTTGCTGTCTAAGGATGAAGACCTTAGATTTTCCAGCACCCATGTAAAAAGCTGGGTGCTGTGGCATGTGTCTGTAATCTCAGCTCTAGGGAGGCAAATGGATTGCTGGAGCTCCCTGCCCAGAGAGTCTACCTGCATCCTTGAACTCCAGGTTCAATGAGAGATCTGGTCACAAAAAATAAGGTAGAACATGACCAAGGAAGACATTGCCTTCACACGCATGAGCGCACATATCCATCCTCATGTAAATATGCACAGCTACATGCACATACACGCAAAAAAAAACAAAAGTCTGGGGTACAGTGATGAGGTAGAAGCTTCCATAACATATATGAGGCCCTGGGCTTGACCCACAACATCAGCAAAAAGAAAATGAACAAAATGGCTTAGGGATAGAGGAAGCAATGAAGAGGGAGCTGTCACAGTGGGCAGGGGCATGAGAAGATGGTTAGTGGCGAAAGGGCAGCGGGAAGAGGCAATCACAGAGTCCTAAAACTGAAATCAAGTCTCCAAGCCACATTCACAGAGACTGACATCACAAAAGATCACAGCACTAGGTGTAGCTATTACTCAGTGGAGAACACTGATCGCTCATGAAAACAGGGTAGACTCTGTTCGGCCTGAGACAATGATGCTATATCACCACTAGGTGCGGTGATACACCTTACTAAAATTAAGAGGCGGTTTTGAGTGGAGAAACAAAGCACTTTCTCTAGAAACCAAAGGCTAGTTTTTAAACATTTTATCACATTAGTGTGTGTGTGTGTGTGTGTGTGTGTGTATGTGTGTGTGTGTGTGTGTGTGTGTGTGTGTTAGGCTTGTGCCCAGAATGTATGTGGAGTTCATGTTACAAGTTGGGGGAGGCATCTTTCTCATTAGCTCCTGTGGGTCCTGTGGATCAAACTCAGGTCATCAGTCTTGGTGGCAAACACCTATACCCACTGAACTGTCTTGCCAGCCCACCAAAAGTTGAATTTTGCCAGGTGGTGGTAGGGCATGCCTTTAGTCCCAGCACTCTGTGAGTTCGAGGCCAGTCCGGTCTATAGAGCGAGTTCCAGGACAGGCTCCAAAACTACACAGAGAAACTCTATCTTGAAAAAACTGAAAAAAAAAAAAAGTTGAATTTTAAAATTCCATGGAACATTATGGAATTAGAATGTCCAATGTTGAGAAGCTTAAGAAAGATACATTGATAGCAAATAATGCCATGAAAAGATGCCCAGCTTCGCTAGAGAAGTGTAACTAAAACCAAGATAAAGCAAATTACCTGCCTTCTAGAACGCCTCAGATTTCAAAGGCTGACCATACAAATTGATTATGTGGACGCCTCAAACACTGTTGGCGATAATGTGAAATAGCACAATTGTACTGAAAAGCAGTTTGCTATCTTCCTATGCAGATAGATATGTGCATGTTATATAACACAGACTTCAAGTCCTAGGTATTTATGGAAAAGAAGTAAAAGGACATGGCTATACAGAGACCTGACCATGCGTGTCCATAGGGGCCCATTGTCATTCTCAAAATCTATAAACAGTACAGTTGTTCATCAAAGAATGAGTGGTTACATATATTTTAATATAACTCTTCAGTGACAACAAAGAGCCAAGCCATCAAAATATAGAATACACATAAACTTCAAAATAATTATGCCTAGTGAAAGAACAAGAAAGAGTGTCCTGCATTGTTGTTTCCATCGCATGTCTAGGGGTATCAATTACTACTTGTCACCAAAAGCAGATCACCAATAGCAGGAAAGGGAGAGCAGGGCAATAGCAGGGCTGCTCAGTGATGCTACAAGAAGATTTTGGAACAATATACCAATAAATCAATTTACTAGTGGCGTGAATGAAATGTCTTTCTTGACCTAATCCTTAAGTAAAATTGAGCACTGAACACAGCACACACCTTGCAGTTCCACACAGTGTACTACATAGCAATTTCCTTTTGCATAGAGACCCCAATATTATACCACAACAATGACCTTTCTCATGTGAAAAAAAATGAAGTCTGTTGGTTATTCAATAAACTCTACAGACATAACATCAACTCATGGACAGTATCAATACAGGATTTGAATTATATCACCTGTTCATGTAGACTTGCTCCTTAGTTATCCTTGATACTCATGGTGGGTCATATGGGGTATCAGCATGGGAATCCTCCAGGGCAGTAAAATAGAAGAAGCCAGTGTATTTGATACAAGTAGAAGATGCCAGAGGAGCACAGGCCTGAGGTGACCAGGATCTGTGTCTGCTCTAATTACATATTCTAATACACTCTCTTCCTAGTACTCTGCTTGGGACAAGCAATGTGTGTCAAAGCAACAACAACTCTTTCAGGACTTTGTCATTAGTACCAGACAGAGAAATGGGCATTCAGATTTGCTCCTATGTCATGCTGGTAAAGTAGGTAGACTGTGAACCTGTATTTGAACTGAGGTGAGTCTGGCTCCCAAGCCAGAGTTCTTCAGGCATTCTGCAGTGAGTCTGCTAAATCCTATGATAAGCAGTTCCAGGCCTTAGTTGCAGGATACCTAGTGTGTTGAAGTAGGAGATAGTGATCAGCTCCACCGAACTCCGTGCCCCAGTTAGATGGAATGGGCCCGGTTTTGACTGTTTGGTCCTCATCTTCAAATGTCCCAAAGGCATCTCCTTTTAACTAACATCTATGGGTTACATATTGCCTGGATACTGTTAGGCCACAGATCCTCTACTCTCTCTCCCTCCCTCCCCCTCTTCCCCTCAGAAATCAGCTCTCACACCTCTGTAGCTCTCTGAGAGTTGATAATAAAATTTGATGTGACTTTCAGTCTCTCTCTCATTTACAGCTGTGAAACCCAGCCCCCTCACTCCTCACCACTCCCTCTCCCCACATACCCCTCCAACCCATCCCTAAACTAATAACCTTGAATTATATTAATCTTATCAGTGCCTTCCTGGCTTCTAGTACATAAGCCAGGACAAACTAGATCTTGTGGAGTGGAACTTGCTCACCAACCTGAAAAACCTATAAAAATCAGAAACCCCCTCTATTGTCTGGAATTGAAGCCCCATTTCAAGTCCTACCCCCACTGTTTCTCATATCAGGGTCCCATTAGTGTGGCCCATGAAGCTCTCTCTCTCTTCATAAATTTCAACTGAAGGATAACATCATATCAGTTCTTTTCTATGAACCTGCTTTCTTTTATTTTCTTCCTTTTTTTTTTTTTCTGACAAAAACTAGTCATCCAGAAAGAAAAAACCACCATGGCCACAGAGGTAGAATTGAAACCTGTAAGTGAACAGAGTGAGTGCGTCCTAGGCATGCAGGTGGACAAGAAGACCCGTCCCCAGAAAGGTAAGCTGTGCATAGCTGCTTGTCCACTGACTTCAAGGAGCATTCTCTTCTGTAATGTAGTCACGTGTAATAGTGAACTCATCACCTTTAAGTTTTTGATTCGTTTTGAAACACAGTAACATTAATGCACATCTCACAGTTATGTAAAAGAAGGAAATACACTCTTCTAAAAATAGTTTTTCAGTTACTTTCTCATCTTTATCCATGAGTTTACTCTTCATAATTGTTAACAAAGCTGTCAGCACACAGCTCCACGTCCCATTCCTTTAATATCTACATGGAATACTGCAAACATAATCACATTACTTGATTAAAGTAACAAATTATATAAATATCCAAAATCAAGAAATGTAATATTTGTGTAAGCTTAATTCACCCACTATAATTTTACTGCATTTGTTCTATATGATTTTTATGTAACTCCATTCTGTATTTTAACTTGCTAACATACTTTTCAGTATTACTTTATGAGAATAACAAAGCCTTATTCTTTTCAACTTTTTTAATTCTTTAAATAGCACACCATGGAATGGGTCTCATTATGGCATCTTCATCCACGTGACACTATATTTTGTTCCTCTTCCTCTTCTCTAGCCTCCCCTGTGTTCCCTGTCCACCTCTGGCTCTGTCCCTTCCTTCCCTCAGATGGAGAACAGATGATGTGAAAGCAGAAAGGACAACTGTCTGGAGGAAGGAAGGGAGCAGAATGCATGCCTGATGATTCTAACAGGTCCACCTTCCACATTTATTTACCTGAGAAGCCCTCCTGTGGCTGATATTTAATTGTGCCCTTTGGGTTTGATGCTTTGTTATAATCTACATGTGAAATGTATATGTGACTTGGCTATTATATGCATTTGGATTATACATAAGAACTATTAAGTTGTATGTCTTATGGTAAAATAACATAGCACTTGGATAATCACATTTGGATTATTTCCTTAGCTTTTGAAATGAAAATGATAATTTTGAGACAAAATTCATGATTATTTTTCTTCCAGTGAAACAGGCTTTGGTTTTCAGTCTCAATACAGATGAAAATATGTGGAGGATTGTGAGCAAAAGAGGAAGTTGTGCCGGGCGGTGGTGGCACACGTCCTTAATCCCAGCACTCGGGAGGCAGAGGCAGGTGGATCTCTGTGAGTTCGAGGCCAGCCTGGTCTACAGAGTGAGATCCAGGAAAGGCGCAAAGTTACACAGAGAAACCCTGTCTTGGAAATAAAAAAAAAAAAAGAGGAAGTTACTTGTCTTGCAGCGTGATTGTAACCCTCAAATGGCTCCACCAAGTTAAAACTGGCAGCAGGGAGCCATTGCGGATGGAGACTAAGGCAAACATCCAGACATAGGACACAGTCATGTAGAACAGCCCCAAACCAAAAGAGAGAAGAGGGATGAATGGCTAGAGTCTTGTGTATCTTAAGTGAAAAGACAGCAGTCTGTTCCAGGTAGACTGGATAAGCGGATTTAAAAAAATAAAGAAAACTACAGATAGACTATATATCTCAATGGCAGGGTACTTGTCCAGTGTATACAAGGTCCTGGGTTTGAACCAGCATCACCCTCCAAAAATAATATTAAGTAAAGCAAGAAAACTGCAATATTTGGGAAAATGGAATTACTTCAAGCTGATAAGTCTTTGGAAAATGTTGGGGGTTGTCAGAGCTCAAGGATTTACTTTTTATTTGTTAATCAGCTTAAATTTGATTTGCTCATCAGTTGATCAATTGATTTTTAATAAACAAAACCAGAAAAATGGTGCTGGACATGGCAGTGAGTACCTGGTATCCAACCCTGCAGAGGCAGAGGCAGGAAGACCATGAGCTTGAGGTTCACCTGGCCTACCCAGCAAGACCCCATCACAATAAACAAAACCAAACAAGACAAAATGAAGAATGCTTAAATAGAGCGTCAGTGTCAAGAAATGTAGTGTTGCCATACTGGTCCCCTGGTTTATTTAAGTGTAGAATGACTCCAACATTATTTTTTTCTACAACATGGTAATTTAGTGCTCTTTCATTCCCTGCCACATCCTTCACACACACACACACACACACACACACACACACACACACACACACACACACACACGTCATTCTTGGGGTATACTGGTATCATTCCATAGATTTTTCTGCCATTTTATATTGTTCTCAGTCGAATTTCGGTGCTTTAAAATGCAAATGTTAGTCAATGCTTACCACCCTGCTTGGTTGTAGTTTTATATCTGCTACAACAATAAAATACTCTGATCAAAAGCAACTTAGGGGAGGGAAGGTTTATTTTAGCTTGCAGGTTATAGTCCACCATTGAGGACATCAAGTCAGGAACTCAAAGGCAAGTCTGCCTGTTCTTCTACCCAGTACGATCTTTAGTGAAGGAACTCATTCAGTCAAGAAGTACAGCAGGAACCATGGAAAAATGTTGCTTGCTGACTCACTCTGGCTCATGCTTAACTAGCTTTCCTGCACAGTCTGGGAGCACCTGCCCAGGGAATGGCGCCACCCATAGTGAGCTGGACCCTCCTATATCAATTGATAATCAAGACACGCCCAATGGCCGATCTGATCTAGGCAATTCCTCAACTGAGACTCCCTTCTCAGGTGACTCCAGGCTGTATCAAGTTGACAGTTAAAGCTAACTAAGGACAGCCTTTGGGAAAAAAAAATTATTGTGTAGTCAAATAGTACATTCTATATTGATGTCACCTGGTGATCCCTGCAGACATATTGTCTTAAAGTCAATAGCCTGAAACACATGCATTTGCTAGAGTTGTGGGGCAGAGCTCTAGGCAGCTCGGCTTAACTTCTTTTCTGGGTCTCACCCTGTCTCACTCCTTCACAAGCCCCTCCAGTGCTTCCCACCCCACTCAAAATAAAAGTCACAACACCTCCAACAGTCCCATGAGACCTTTAAGACTGGATTCTGCTCTGGCCCTCTCTCCTCTGTCCTACTCACCTGGTGTTGGCTCTTTGAACACTCACTGCAGGGTGTGGAGCATGCCTTCCCCTCAGATGCCTGCATGACCAACTCTCAGGTACTCTCCGGGGACTCCGCCTCCTCCTGCTTTATTTTCTGCACAGCACTGGCACCCTCTTAGACAGCCGTACTGCCTTGCCTTGTATGTTGTTCTCGTCTCTGGAATGTGGGGTTCACTAGCTGTGTGCTGCTACACACGGGGAGTGATCAATAGGTGTGTGTTCCATAAGAACTGAAGATACAAACTAGACTGGAGGGCATGGCTTAGGAGGGTGCTCTGTCAAGCTCCTATCCAGTTCCCTGAAGTGAACCAACTGGCTTGTCCTGCCACAGAATGAGCTGGGCAGAGGTAGGCTTCCCCAAGAGACAGAGAACTGGTCTGCTAAAGTACCCATGCAGGACACCCCCTGAGAAGATGCTGAGCTCTGCATGCTCAGCTGATTTACCACAGTGGTTACCTAAGCTCTACTTCTCCTGGGAAAAGAATTCTCCTGGGAAAGAAACAAATTGGAGAGTGCTCCCTCCGGAGTGCCCTTTGTTGAAGGCCGGCTGTAAAAGCTGCCTGGGGGCTAGTGAATACAGATGCATGCAGTCTTAACGCTCTTATCATGTCGGGTCTGTCTAAAGTGCACTGCCAGGGCATCTACACAGTGCCAAGCTGCAGAGCTTTCTCAGGAGCAATGGAAAGCCGCCTTAAGAGCTTGGGAAGCAATCCACTCTCTAGCCAACATTCCTCGGAGGTCCGTTTCTGAACCGTTCTCACATGCGTGGCACCTGTGTTTTCAGTACTTTGGACAAGGCAACCAGGCTCAGGGAGACGGGGAGGGGTGCCTCGGAGCCACACACCGGTGGTGTCAACACGGCGCTCACTTCTTTTTCCAGTATAGCTTCACTACAGGTTTTCAGCATTTGAGGGTGTCAATTTCTCTAATGAGGAAACCTCTCTAGGACTTAAATCTTAAACTTGATTCATTTTTTCTAATGTTACATTTTAAGTGAAAGTTTATCCTCAGCTTCTTCACACTTTAAATTTTATTTGTATACGTTAGGCATGATATATTACATACATTATATGTCTGATATGTAAGATAAACATAATATACGGTATTTCACTAGTTAGACATGCTATACATGTACATATGCGTGTAATTTGCATATAATTTATTACGAATTGTGATTATATATATTTAACTTTTAATGGAAGTTTTATATTTACTTACTGTGAATTGTTTCATCGGCTCTAAAACTGAATTACTTAGGAATGGGAGAGACAAAATTATAGATAGGAAGGACAGAAAGTCCGGAAGGAAGCCAGGCTGTGCAAATCTGTAGCATAAAATGTTCCTTGACTCATTTCACCTATCAGCTGCTTTTGACTCTCCCTTTCCTGACTCCAGCAAAAATAGAATGGTCATTTAAGTCATCAGATGATCAGTAGTGACTTTCAAACAAGGCCATATTTAGCTGGCCTCAAACAGCAGCCAATGATGACCAAACTCCTAATCCTCCTGCCTCCACCTCCCAAGTGCTGGGATTACAGGCTTACACCACCAAGCCATGCTTTCTATTGTACCTTGTGAAAAATTAACGCTAGCTCAGTAAAGCCAGCCATGATGTCGTGTCCTCCTTCCAGTCCCAAGTCTGTGTTCCGTGCGCTACGGAATGGCCTTCCTCGCACATTTAAGCAACTTCACATTCATAGCACAGAATTCCATCATAAGCATCACTATGGTAGCCATGGTCAACAGCACAGACTACCAACCTCACCTCAACAGCTCCACAGAAGGGCTTCCCACCGATTTAAATGGTGACCAACATGAAGCCTCGAAGCATCTTTCTGTAAAGGTAGGCAATGCAGAATTTAAGTTTGTGCTCCCATTTGTGTGTGTGTGTGTGTGTGTGTGTGTGTGTGTGTGTGTGTGTGTTGCACACATGTGTGTGCATGCATGTGAAAGCCAAAGGTCAAATTTGGGTGTCACAGCTCAGGAGCCACCCCCCTTTTCTCATGAGGCAGGATGTCTCCCTGGGACCTGAGGCTGGCATGCCAGGCTGTGCTGACTGCCCTGAGTGTCCCAGGGATTTTCGGGATGCCGCCTCCCCAGTGATGAGGTTACAAGCCACAATGCTGGGATTTTTACGTGGGTTCTGGGCGTTGAAATGAGCTCGTCATGTTTGCACAGCAGGCGTTTTACCAACTGAGCCATCTCTCCAGTCCCTGTACTCAAATTTTTCTATTCATTTTATATTTATTTTTCAAGAGTTTATATGTTCGAAACCCCATTTTGCAGTTCTGGGAAGAGAAGCCAGAGCCTTGCACATCCTAGATCAATTATTCTGCAACTGAGCTATTTCCAGCCCTCTCCCTTTTCTCTTATACTGATTCTGTTTTCAGAAAGGGTCTCATTAAGTTGCCCAGGCAGGCCTTGAGCTCCATTTGTAGTCCAGACCAGACTTGAACTTGTGTCTCTCCTGCCTCGGCCTCTTAAGTAACTGGTATTATAGACCTATGCAGCCAGGTCCACCTGTGTTCAAAAATCTTAATTGAGAAAATTCAAATCTAATGAGGCTTCTTAGACTAATTAAGTGCCTTCAGGTATGTGGCTCACAAGAGCGTTTTCTGCTTTCCAAAGGCCCCTGTGTATAACTGGAGTCCTCAAACCCAAGGATTCATCTTCAGCTCCGTCCAGTACGGCATGATGCTGATGCAGGGTCCTGGTGGATTCTTGGCTGGGAAATTAGGAACTAAGAAAGTAGTCGGAGTTGCTCTGCTCGGGTCCTCACTGCTCACTCTCTTCATCCCGTTGGCTGCCAATCTCGGATTAGCCGTTCTCCTGGCAACGCGAGCAATCCAGGGCTTAACCCAGGTACCAAGTGTTTTGAGTATTTCCTTTCCTTTTTGTTTTTTTTTTTAATGTAGACCAGGCTGGCCTCAAACCCAGAGAGCTCCACCACCTGCCTCCACCTCCTGAGTGTTGGGCTTAAAAATGTGTGTCACTATGCTCAGTCCCAGATACTGAATATTTTCAAACTCTGAGCTGGGTATGACTTTCCAGATGAGGCCATATCCATATCTCTGGCCATTTTGATTTCAGGGCGCTGGATACGGGGGTCAATTTGCACTCTGGCAGAAATGGGCTCCTCCGAACGAACGCAGCCGACTCTGCAGCATTGCCCTGTCAGGTAAATGTGTACAGATGGGAGGCTGGCACCCCGCACTTTCCACTCGGCTCCTGAACAGTTTTTCTGTCGAACAGTTCTTTATCTTCTACTTGATGTTAATGAAGTGTTCATACAAATTAAGAAAACCAACTCTTCATTCGTGCCATGACTTATTTTGCCCGTGTTGTGATTTGTGGCATAACTTTGCTTATGATATGATTTCTGACATTTTAAAAATATTTTTTATGTCTTCAAATTGATCACTTTTATTTTGTGGAATTTAATTTCAACTCACTGGCAGAAAGGTTGTAAAAGTAATTACCAATTTTTTTTTTACAAATTTGTACAGCTTAATTTTTTATATATTAATTCCTGGCCATCATATGAAGTTTATATTTGCATTCAGTGTGACATATAGATTCAAATTAATGATTTTTGTAATTGCACTAAATTGTCCTGAGAACATCTTTATTTTAAAAAGTTTTTATTACATTTATTTACTTAATATACATGCATGCCACAGCACATATTGGAAATCAAAGAACAGCTACCGGGAGCCATTTTTTTTCCCTTTTGCCATGTGGGTTCTGGGAATCAAGCTCATGTCACGATCAAGCTTCAGCAAGCACCTTGACTCGCTGAACCATCTTACCTGCTCCTGAGCACTCTTCTGAAAATGACCTGTCGGTGAAATGTACCCATTCTAGAAGCAGAAGCCTACTTAGCATAAAGTAGGGAAAGTGGAGAACAGCTGGTACAAATGAACAACAGCCACTGTCAAGGCTAGCACTGGATAAGAAAAGGGTAGGATGCAGGTAATGGATGTGCTCAAAGATAGTCAAGAGCTCTTCAAGTCCCAAATCACCACATATTTTAAAGGGAGCCTCTAAAACTCCTTCAGAAACCCAGGATGGTAGTATCCAGTGTGGGGCATGGGAGTTTATGTTAGCTGACAGAAAGGGAGCATCCAATTTAGACAAACGAAATTCACCTCAGTTACCCAATTGTGAGATGACCCCAGAACACAAGAGAAACCAGGGAATAAGGAGCATGAGAATGTGGACATTGGCTGTGGGATTCACTCGGACAACAGGGCATGAAATGCAGGAATGAACAGCGATGTGATAACTAATGCAGGCAATCCCAGCCAAGCTTCTTTGTCTTCGGCGTTGAGGAACTGCTTGAGGAACTCCAGGAATAAATTGTTTTCTGACTTCAGAAAACATCCTGGCTTCCTCATAGGGAACCTCTTGGCTTCCTGAGGGTGGCACAGAGAGAGCAGATGGAAAAATTCCATCCAAACAGAGCCAATTGAGCTCACGGTAAGACTGACATCACTTACAGTGACGCCTGAGATAGAAGACAGGATTGCTCTATCCAGAAAGCTAGAGAAAAACACCCTCTCCAGAAAAGCACCTGCCTAGGGCCCAGAGAGCCTGGCTACTACCAGCCTCCAGTGCAGAACGTACTGCATATTCTTTGTAGGTGTTTCAAACCTTTGAGATTGTCGTCTACAGAGTTCACACTTGAGAACAAAGTCGAGAGGTTAAAACATCGTGAAGTCTCATCCCAAACTATCCTGGAGTATAGGTGGTCTGTGCATCATCGGTTGGACATGCTTTCAGGGGCTACGAAAGATACATGGAAGTAGGGAAGTTTGCAACCACTCACAGAACTTTGGAACAGTGCAGGTCAAACAGGGCTCGTAGCTCATTCTTAAGGCTAGTAAGTGATGGGAAGAAGAAAAATGTCTTATTGGCTTAACCCAGAGCTCAGGAAACAGACAGGCTCTCAAACCAAATTGGATGCCATCATTGCAGAGCTTTCTGAATTAATTTAAAACACAGTGAAAGAGCGAGAAGGAGAGAAGGAGAGAGAGAGAGAGACAAGGGAATGGTATAGTTATCTCATGAGAGATAGGAGGAAAATACATGGAAGGACCATATGTGCTCAGATGCCTAAATATTCCTTCTCTGTCTTTCTACTTCATCAGCCTTCTCACCAAGGGGGTGGTTATGAAAAACTAAGTTAGAGTTCAAGCAAAACTGTCCCCGTAGGAAAGACATCCTGGACCAAAGACATCTACTAGCTCTATGGAAGAGACACAGGAAAGAGTAGAGGAGGTCAACTAAAGACCCTGATCATTGCTGTGTTTTGTTTCTTGAGTAACTGGGGTAGAATGGGCAGCACCATAGGATGGCTGGCTGCCCCAGGCCTTTGTATGTATTGACTCAGTAGTGCTGTGTTGATATATGGTCCCTTTAAAGGGTGGGGAGTGAACCAATGTAAAGTACTTATCAATGTCTAAATGCTAAAGAAACTCCTGAGATACCAGTCTTAAGATATGGAACAAAGAAGGCATGGGTACATTCAGATGTCGCAGACCCCAGCACTCTAGGGATTGGTGGCTCATATGCCTCTTGAATGTTCAGGGCCACAGCCTTTTGGGAGTTTTCCCTTGCAGATGGACAAAGAAACACCAAAATGTACAGAGGGGGCTCCAAAGAGGCCAATATTTGTTTTGTTTTCACTCCTTTTTATTTTTTTTTAGAATATTGAAAAATATTTTAACTTTTAAATCTGTTTTTAATTGACTTAAAAATCATAAATGTTAATGGCCTGGTGCCATGAGATATTTGAGTACACGTGAACACTTACTGATGTTCAAATCCAGGCATATCTATCTCCTCTAACATTGATCATTTCTTGTAGTGAAATTATTCAAAATTTTCCCTTTCAGATTTTTTTGAAATGTAGTATGCTGTCATTATTTACACTCTGCCTGCTACTACGCAGCAGAACGCCAGAACCTGCACTTTCTTTCCAATATGGATCCTATGCTATTGGCATTGCATGTGGTTGGGAAAGAGTCAGGAGTGGAGAGGAAGGTGAAGGTGAAGAAGTGAGAAGACACACACTTAGAAGGCCGGGCTTGAAGTAGAATGGGACAGGGGAAATCAAGAGAACAGAAAGGACTTGACCTTGGCTGGATAGAGGAGTCTATCCCCCATCATAACCAAAGTAGAGGCAGACATTTAGGAGAAAGACACGGATTGGATGGACCTGGTGGTAGAATAGGTACCCACTTCCGGCTTTCTATACATGCACCATGGAACTTGGTATTCTCTTTTAAATGCTCCTTTCCTGTTATTAAAAGGCCAACCTGGGGCAGTTTATTTAACTGTAGCTGGCTATACTTGATCACAGGCAAGTTTGATTGCTAGTATTTAAATGAGATAGCATAGACAATATGCTTTAATAAACATGAATAAAAGAAAAAGAATATGTAAACAATTATTTGTACATTGCAGTGTAGGTTAAAAAGAAATCTAGGCAAAAGAGTAAATCTAGAGGGTCATAGATCTGACTCCACAAATGTCTGTACTGCTGACTGTGAAATACAATGATATAAACAAAGTTAAAATGGAAGAACTGCTGCCAGTGTGCCACACGGGGATTGTTCACAATGCACAGAGAGTCTGTAACTTGAGACAAAGGAAAACAACTGAAAGAAACAGAAAAAAAGACAGTACATAATTGTAGCTGATTTTTTCTCCTCTTATTCTTTGGGGACCTGCCACCTGTTCCCAAATAATCAAACGAAGACTTATTCTTACTTGTGAATACCCGACCTTAGCTTGGCTTATTTCTAGCCAACTTTTCTTAACTTAAATTATCCCATCTACCTTTTTCCTCTGGGCTTTTACATTTCTCTATTCTATATACCTTTCTTTACTTCTTACTCTGTGGCTGGCTGGGTGGCTGGCCCCTGGCATCCTCCTCTCCTTCTCCTTTTTCTGCTCCTTTCTCTTCTCTCTTCTCCTATTTATTCTGTCTGCATGCCAGTCCCACCTGTCCTCTCTCTCCTGCCTAGCTATTGGCCATCCAGCTCTTTATTAGACCAATCAAGTGTTTTAGACAGACAAAGTAACACGGCTTTACAGAGTTAAATGAATGCAACATAAAAGAATGTAATACATCTTTGGATCATCAAACAAATATTCCACAGCAAAAACAAATGTAACACATTTTGAACTGATATTCAACAACAAACAATAAAGTTGGTAAACAGGAAGATTCAACTTTACTATAAAGAACAAAATTTAAAATGAGGGTGTGTTCATTATTTATGTTGGAAGACAAGTGCTTAAAAATTTTCAGGATATTAGATGTTATCAAGGAGATGAGAAAGAAGTATGTTGGCAATTTAAGTTGCTACAGCTTTCCACAAAGAATTTTTGCAGTATTTACCAAAATTTAAAATATACATAGCCTTTGATCTAATAAGTTTACCTCTGATATTCTATTCACAAAAAATTATGTTTATATTCAGAAATGAGTAATAATGCCTGTTTAGAATTAGAATCTGTTGTGGTATTTGTATATGTTCTAATAAATGAAGCTTGCCTGAATATCAGAGGGCAAAGCCAGCCACTAGTTAGTCATAGAGGCCAGGTAGTGGTGGCACACACCTTTAATCCCAGAACTTGGGAGGCAGAGGCAGATGGATCTCTGTGAGTTCAAGGCCACTCTGGGCTACACAAAATTGATCCAATCTAAAAGAGAAACAGAGCCAGCCAGTGGTGGCACACACCTTTGATCCCAGCACTTGGGATCTCACGACTTCATTCCCAGCACTAGGGAGGTGGAGACAGGAAATAATATGGCTGGGTGGAGAGAGGAATATAAGGCAGGAGGAGACAGGAACTTGGGTCCCTTTCATCTGAGGATTTCGTAAAGGTAAGAACTAGTGGCTGGCTGTTCTGCTTCTCTGATTTTTCAGCATTTTCCCCCTATATTTCGCACTGGGTTTTTATTAATAAGACCAATTAGGGTTCGTGCTACAAGATCTACAGTGCAATGGAGATATTTGTAAGAACAATTGCTCAATGAAGATGAATGTTGGGGCTGGAGAGATGGCTCCATAGTTAAGAGCATGTACTGTTCTTTTTTTTTTTTTTTTTTTGGTTTTTCGAGACAGGGTTTCTCTGTGTAGCTTTGCGCCTTTCCTGGAACTCGCTTTGGAGACCAGGCTGGCCTCGAACTCACAAAGATCCGCCTGCCTCTGCCTCCCGAGTGCTGGGATTAAAGGCGTGCGCCACCACCGCCCGGCTGCATGTACTGTTCTTGCAGAGGACCTAAGTTCTGTTCCCAGCACTCATACCTGTAACTGCAGCTCTAGGGGACCTGACATCCTCTTCTATCCTCCACAAGCATTTCACTCATGTGCACACACACTTCATACACACACACACACACACACACACACACACACACACACATACACACACACACACACATAAAAAAATTTAAAGATGACTAAAACCCTTGGGCCATTACAATCGTACTTCTTTTAAAATAACAACTCCACACACATGGAATTTGACAAGTTGACTAAACATAAAAACTGAGATAGCTTGCAAATATTTGAAAAACTGTGAAATGGGAATATGACTAACATATATTAGAATGCTCTATGAAGTTAGAGAAATTGAAACAGTATCATTAGCATATTTATGAAGAAATAAGCTTCCTGTAAATGCATTTACAAAGAGAATGAATATATGGATCTCTATAAATAGCATATAAGTGCACAGAAAATACGGTGAATGACTGTTTCTTGTACAATAAATTGATGTGATATTTGTCTTCAGAAGGATGAGGGGATAGAATTGGAGGATGTACAACAACATTGACTCTTCATGTGCTTTTCTCAATAATAAGTGTATATAATTGAAAATTAAGACAACCTGAAGGGTGGTATGACAGTCACCTGCAATGGTAATTTTGAGGGGGAAGAATGACTCTCAGAAAGTATATGAATTAAATGAGAAGGCTGAAGATTTTGCATTTGCACATGCTTATTCTATAGTTTGGTGGCACTTCTTGGCGTTCACCTGCCAGCCTACATTATTTGTCTGGCAGAAGGCAGGAGTTCCACCATCTTCTTTCTGTCTCTCTACAGGAATGGTGTTGGGAATCTTCGCTGTCCTCCTTGTGGGTGGCGTCATTAGTGAAGCCCTTGGATGGCCCTTTGTCTTCTATATCTTCGGTAAGCAGCTGGCTTCTGAGATACTCAGTGATGTTCTTCTGAGGTTGTACATCTGTGTGTACTTTTCTGAAGAAAGAGAGTCAAAATATCAAAATGTTAGGGAAACAAAATATCTTAATATAAGGAGATAACCTTGGTTAGCCAAGATGTGGAAATCCTCTGGCTTCATATAAAGTACTGCTCTTCTGCCATGAGGCTCAACCATCATGGTTCCACTGTGCCTTGCAGGCAGGAGGGGAAGGCCTGCAGAGCAGTGCTTTCTCAGAGACAGAAGAAAGCAATCCTGGGAGGTAAGTGTAGCTGTGGATTTGTCTGTGGTTAAACACAGCAAGGGGGCGGGGTCCTGGGCAAGCCTCAAGTTTCCCAAAGAAAAGAACATATCAAACACTGAGAGTAATTCGTGGTAACTTCACGATTGGCCCCCAGACTTCAGTTGAGCTAGAAACCAAGAAAGTACTGCTTCACCTACAGTTTCCACTGGAGTGACTTTGCATTTTATTTTCAAACTTCTCATCAGCTTGTTTTGTTTACACACCTGTTCCTCTTCCAGTCAGTGAGTGTCTTGAGGCCAGAGATGAGTTATTGTCAGTTCTTGAGACTGTGTAGCGCTCAAGAAACATGAAAACATTACTCAAGAGATAATTGGGTGGATATATTAATACCAGACAAAGATATCTTCACAACAAGGAGTATTACCAATGCAACAAGAACACACAAGAATCTGAAATGCACATGTACCCAGCAGCAGAGCTCCTGAATGCACCATGCAAAAACTGACAGAACAAGGTTGGGATGTAGGCCAGTTGATAAAGTTCTTGCCTAGGATGAAGCCATGGGATTGGTTCCCAGTACCACAGAAAACTGGGCACAGTGCCATATGCCTCTAATCCCAGTTCTCAGAGAACAGAGACAGGAAGACCAGAGGTTCAAGGTAATTCTTGATGACACAGAGAGTTTGAGACCAGTCTGGGTTACTCGAAATAATGTTCTGTGGAGTAGGAGTAGGTTGAGAAAACAAAAACCATAAAGAAATATTAGCCAGGCAGCCTAGGCAACTAGATGAGCTCGAGTCAGTTAGATTCCTCTCTCAAAGAAATCAAGGAAGACCACCCCCCCAAACACACACAGAAACACCAGATCTACATATAAAATCTAGAAAAATTATTCTAGAAGAAAAAGGGGGAAATCCTTTGTCCTTTAACTAACCAAAGAATTCCTAAATATGACACCAAAAATATGAGCCATAGATGAAATTGATGAATTGGATATGAACAGAGTTAAGAAATATATATCCTCTTCAAAAAATATTACTAAAATAGTAAAAGGACAAACTGGTTTAAGGAGAAAATATTTACAAAACAATGATATGTTTCTCTAAAATTTGTAAATAATTTTCAAAACTCAATGAGAATACAAAACCCTCAGCAGAAAAATGAGAAGAAATATTTCACCAAATCCACACAGAGAGGTCACAGATCTACAACCAGACACTTAACCAAGGATCTTTAGTCATGGAGGCATGAAAATCAAAATTATACCTCCATATAACCTATTAAAATGGCTAATAAGTGTTATGCTCTCCCTAAGGTCTGTGACCCCCTTCCCAAACACAAATAAACAAGAAATGTATGAGACCGCTTGTTTGAGAACTGGGAAGGGCTTAGAATGAGCTTTGGCAATAGTTTATCCTAGAAAATGTCCCAGCATGAGAACAAGTCCTTCAATATACCCACAGGGCTCTAGGCAGCCCAGCACAGAGATCTACACATCCATAATTATTGCTGCACTATTCACAGTATCCCAGGCATGGAACCAACCTAGATGTCCAGCAACAGGGAACAGATAAAGGAAATGTGGCACAGAGTCACAGTGGAATTTGATTCAGCCAGAACAAAGAATGAAATTATGTCATTTTCTGGAAAATGGATGGAACTGGAGATCATCAAAGTAAGAGAAATAAGTTAGATGCAGAAAACAATCCACGTATTTTTCTCTCATTTGTGGAAACTAAAATTCTTTATAAAGTACATCTGTCTACCTATCTATATGCATACATACATACATACATACATACATACATACATGGGTCATAACATACATATACATACATGCATACATGGTCATAACATGCATATATACATACACACATAGATGACTCATAACATACATATACACACATGAAAGCAGGCAGGCAGCTGAGGAAGGAGATTAGGAACTGGAAGGAGGGGGAGGGAGAGGAGTAACTAGGGAGAGGATGGGAAGAAGCTGCTGTGCTCAAAACATGGGATACATTTAAAAGGAATTATCAAAAAGCAACATTATGTGCAATGACTGTTACACCAATTAAAAAAGAAAAAAATGTGAAATCCATGTAAAGTTCAGGATTTAGTAGTAAGGAGTCAAGAAAGTGTTGACAGATGTTCTATGATGTCAACATTGAAGATGCAGGACAAGAGGTGTGTGGCAACTCTAGGCTATCTTTGCAACATTTAAACAAGCCTATCATTATTCCATAATTTAAAGTCCATTTTTTAAAAAAAGACAAAAATGAGCTCTCTGATGAATACTCCCCTCGCTTGCAGGAGGTATCGGCTGTATCTGCTGCCTTCTCTGGTTCATTCTGGTTCATGACGACCCCGCCTCTCACCGGTGGATAAGTGGTCCAGAAAAGGAATACATCATATCCTCCCTGCACCAACAGGTACTCATAAAAACTCCAGCCTCTGCAGAAACCTTGAATCCACATCCAGGTTCCTAAAGGTGGCTGAAACTCTGAGCCTCTTGTTGATCTTACTGCTCAGATCAATGCATTTGTTTTCAGGTCAGCTCAGAAGAGCAGCCGCTTCCCATCAAAGCCATGCTCAGATCTCTGCCACTCTGGTCCATATGTCTTTGCACTATGACTCACCAGTGGCTTGTTAACATCTTTATAATATACACCCCAACCTACATCAGTTCTGTGTTCAAAATTAACATCAGAGACGTGAGTAAATTTCACTCCATTCTTCCCTCGTGTTCGCGTGATTCCTCAGTTTCTCAGCTGGCACAAATCATTCTATCTGCAGGGCGTTAACTCTCATTTCCCAAGATAATCTCATCTTTCAAACCAGTAACAGTAACTGTGCTGGGGGTATGACTTAAAAGTTGGCCAGGATTCCCAAGAAAAAATGGTTTCTGAGTGTCAGGATAATTATGAGGGAATTACCAACAGGTTTTTTCATTGCCTAAATTATGGTCATTCACTCAGTCTTTTTTTTACCTCAGAATGGGTTCCTGTCTTCTCTTCCTTTTTTCGTTGCCTGGGTCGTTGGTATCCTGGGAGGCCAGCTCGCAGATTTTCTCCTGAGCAAGAATTTTAGGCTCGTAACTGTGAGGAAAATCATCACAATTTTAGGTAAGAACAGGGCATAAGAGTTGAATGACTTCTAAGTATTCAACAGTCAGTGAATGCATCTCACTCTTGGATTTGTCTGTTCCACATTCCCCAGGAAATGTCCCCCCACTAGCTCTCATTGTGGCTCTGCCCTATGTCCAGTCCAGCTATATCACAACAATTGCATTTCTGACGCTTGCCTGTGGATTGAGTCCTCTGTGTCAGTCCGGAGTCTATATCAATGCTTTAGATATTGCCCCAAGGTAGGACTCTTATGTCTACTCCCAGTTTCACATTTTCGGGGGGGATGATCTGTAGTGTTCTGGGGTCTCAAAGTTTGTAAAACAATAAATCATAAGTACGGACCGTAGATGGGCCTAGGGTGTGTTGGGTGGAGGGGTGTCGACTTGCCATATCGCCTCACATGAATATACATTGCCCATGTCCTTTTGGATGTAATTACATGGTGAATTCACACATAAAATGGGGCTGAAAGATGTCTGGATTTAGCTTGGGACATTCCTATCACCCACAGGTATGCCAGCCTTCTTTTGGGAACATCAAGAGGATTGGCACATTCATCTGCTGTGCTGGTACCCATTGTTGGTGGCTTTTTCCTCAATCAGGTAGTTTCCATGCCAAGACAGACGTTTAAAATACTCTGCCACATGCTTTTGTAAAGGGATGATAGCTAGAGTATATTCAAAGGTTGGGAAATAGTGTTGAATTTGGGGTGACCATGAAGTAGAGAGCAGAATGAACCAGAGTTGAGGTCATTCTAGAGTCAAAGAACTAACCACAGCTCCACTCATAATCTCCATTTGAAATGGGAAACAGACAACCCCATAGGTGACTCAGAATAATGTTTCCATGCTGGCCTGCCAAGCCTTCCGAGGCCGAATTTTCATTTGTGTAAATAATCACACACAGGGAAGGAGAGGAGAAGCAGCATGGGTAAGTGCGTGCCTGATGCATGCTGGTATCAGGACAAGCATTTTTTTCCCCAGACAGGGTTTCCCTGGCTGTTCTGGAACTCGTCTTGTAAACCACCGTTTGTAAAGCGTTTTGAACTCACAGAGATCCGCCTGCCTCTGCCTCCTGAGTGCTGAGATTAAAGCATGGCATGCACCACCACTGCCTGACTATGACAAGCATTTTATACATCACAATCCTGTTTAGCATTTCATTCTCATATCAGTATGAAAATTAATACCATCACTTCATCTCCTAATGCTTAAACTGAAAATCTGGTAAAATGAGACGTTCTGATCCAAGGAAATAGCTCTGACGCCCAGTATCTTTCCAACACATTGTGACATTGATGGAAGAATCTTAGAACCAGTTTTGGCATAGCATTTGTAGGCAAGGTTGGGCAACAGAGAATGTATGTGACACTTTGATAATGACAGACATAGATCTATAGGTCAATAGTGACAGTTTGCAAATCTCTCTAATGCAGAACATTTTGAGTATATTTTGGATTTCCTTTCTTTAACTATCAAGATACTTCTAGGCAATGCTTCTCAACATGGAAAACCCCTGGAGACTGTCTTCTGAATTAGTGATTCAGTTTCATAGAAAAAGAGGTGAGAGAAGTAATATGTAGTTTGGGTCTTGTGTTCCCAGGACTCTGAATTCGGGTGGAGGAATTTATTTTTCTTATTGCTTGCCATTAACCTATTTGGCTTAATCTTCTACCTCGTGTTTGGGAAAGCAGATGTCCAAGAATGGGCTAAAGAGAGGACGCTCACTCGGCTGTGAAGGTAACAGACAATGATTTCAGTAGAAGTACAATCACAGAGGCAGGACCTCAAATTGTTAATTTCCTGTCATTTTTCTTCCTCAGCTGTCCCACCTCCAGTAAAGAAATCATTACACATGCTGGTTCCTATGTGGGAAGACTGCCATCAAAAATGCCATCAGGGTCTCCCCCCACCCCCCCCCCCCCCCGCCCCATCCCTTTCATTCAGATTTCTTGTGAAGAAAATATAAGATGAATAAAAAATAAAGTAAAATATAGCAAAGGACCAAGTTGTCATCTTTTAATTGAGAATGTGGGTACGGACGTGGTAGTTTCACAGTTTTTAAAAACAAGAACAAAAGTTTTTGAACCCTAGGTCCAGAGTGGTAATCTTAGTAGAGCAATCATTTATTTTCTGTTCGTCAGATTTGATATTAATTTTGTTTTATGCATGCGGTCCTGGAAGCAGAGCACGCGCTCTACCACAGGCTTACACTGCTGGCCTGCAGGCTCCTTTGCTGGGTTGGCTATTGTCACACGCTCCACACGTGTTCAATTCTTTTTCACGGTGCTCAGGCTACTGGAAGGTGAGTTACATGGCCTGTACCCCACACTCCCTTGTCCACCAGCTTCAGCCAGAGTTTTGATGGAGAAAGGAAAACATTGTCTGAGGAACCACAGTCCTAGCAGGCAACCCTCTTCATGTGTTCTGTGTTCTGGTAACTTCCTTCCTCTGTCCATTGGGGTTTTTGCTTGTTGGTTGGTTTTTGGTTTTTTGTTTTTTGTTTTGTTTTATTTTGTGCCAGCTCTGATACTCTCTAGAACACTTGGTAGTTTTTTTTTTGCCCTCTGCCTGGTCCTGTCCAAATGATCCCTTTTAACATTGTCCTAGACTGCCCAGTGTGGCTGTTATCTTTCTTCTGTGGGATCTGCCTAATTAAGTAGCTAAATCACTTGTAGGGCTCAAAAGTAAAACTGGCTTAGTATTTTTGTAAAATAATGGTTTGTAGGTATCAGTGGATCAAACCAAGTTCAGAGGCCCAAGACAGCACTGGGGATTGTTCTCCATGCTGACCTCTACAGTCTAAGACAGAGATTACTGTCCTCAAGTCATCTCCTAGATCAGGGCAAGGTTAGCGAGGCTAAGCATGAACAAACTCAGCAATGACTGTGATCTTGATATAAGTTCCAATCTGTCTGTTGGAGCACTAGAGTATGTTAAGTAGAGTTTTCCTTCTAATGTGCCTGGCAAACACTGTCTTAGGTACAGTACTAGAGGGACACACCACACAGGGCACAGATGAAGGTTTGCAATCCCATGCTGAAAGACACAGTGAAGGTTTCTTCCATCAGTCAGTTCCTGGACTAGATGTTAAATGGGAATGCCTATGGTCAGATTTCCAAAACCAGAGTCCAATCTCTACAAAAGCATAAAAGCAGGAAACAGGGTGCATTCTGAAGGGAGTCCCCTGTCTACATATTCAGTTAGGAAAGTACAAAGCACTAAATTAGAGGAGTGTTTGTGGCTAAAGTAGGCAGTGCTCATGCGTCATGGGAGAGAGTTTGAGCATATCTTAGAAGTAGGAAAGTAGGGCTCACAGCAAGAGTTACGCGGGCAGATCTTGCTACATGGAGCATTCTCCTAAAATTTCAGAATTCTGACGACTAGCCAAGTCATCATCTGTATACCGGTCTTTACGGCAGCGTTAGGGACTAGAATAAGGCAGGGCAAGCCGAAATGGAAAGAAGAGAGGTGGAAAAATGTATGGGTGGGGGGGAGTGAGGTAGCTGCTAGAGAAGACAGAGGAGAGTGAGACCAGGTAGATAGAGCACTACACAGAGAGTGCAGGAAGATGAGCTCTGTTTGGAGGAGTGATAACAAGCTGGCTGGGGAATGTTGAGTCGGCAGTGATGGTGAGATGGTCCAGTAGCCATGTGTGTCCGTTTTCTGCCTTGACAAGGTGCCATCAGCCAGGCAACTTAAACAATAGCAACTGTTATCGCAGTTCAGAAATTAAAGTGTTGACAAGGTGGGTTCTCTATGAGGACTGTGAAAGAGGACCTGTTCTCTGCTTTTATTTTAGTTTCTTTGAAGCTTCAGGAGTCCTTTGGCTTCGATATTGCCTTCTCAGGTTACAGGAGTTTTAGGAAAAGAGCACTACTTTCCAGGACTCTCAGAGGACTAGACTCCACATTTTCTCCCACATGTCAATCAAAGAAATTACGGAGTGGTGGTGAACAACAAAGAAAGGAGATTAACTTGACATGGCCACATCGGGAAGCAGTTTCGTTAAGTCTGTCTTCAAGGTGCCAGTGGTCTATTGGCCATTGTCTCAGTTCTGCTCCTTGTCTCCACTTCTGGAGAAGTTGTCCTTGCTGTCACTGCTTGAGGGGAGTATCTGAGTCCAATGGAATGATGACACCTGTTCCAGGGTGCAGCCTCACCACCTGAGTAATTGGTATCATCCTCATTTGGGAGCAGGTGATCTGTCCTACAAGGTGTAATTTGGGTCTTTTGTCACAAAGATGTTTATCATCAATACTGTAATCCTGGAGTTCAAAGTAACTGCAGAAGAGAATGGGGGTCAATAGTTAGGTTACTACTGCTATGCTAAAACACCATGACCAAAAGCAACCTGAGGAGAAAAGAATTTATCTCATCTTACAACTCTCAGGTGACACTCCATCACCAAGAGAAGTCAGCGCAGAAACTCAAGGCAGAAACTGAAGCAGAAGCCATGGAAGAGTGCTGCTTTACTGGCTTGCTCTCCATAGGTTCGCTCATGCAGCTTTCTTGCACACCTCAGGACCACCTGCCTAAAAGTGGCACCACCCCCAGTGGTCTGGGTCCTCCGACATCAATTATTAATCAAGAAAATACCATACAAGACTTGTCTATGGGCTGATCTGATGGAAGCATTTCCTCATTTGAAGTCCCTCTTCCCAGATACCTCCAGCTTGCATCACATTGACAAAACAAACCAGCCAGGATAATGACTAAGGAGACAAATAATTAAAGAGGCAAAGTCTGTTTGTCAGGCTGTGACTGGCCCTCTCCTTCACCCCCAGACTTCACATCATGCTCCCTCTGTGTGTGCGTCAGTATTTCCTGCTTTCATGAGGGTGCTGGTCCTATGGGATCCCATTCCACTCTCATAGTCTCATTTCAATTATCATTTGCAAAGACCCTGGGTCTTTGTGCTGGATAAAAGCACACTTGAGGCTCTCAGCTACCCCTGCTTTTCTTTAACCAGCCTGTCTACTGTTTCCACCAACGTATATGAAAGTATCTGGACCTATGACTTCCTTTGTTCTGTTTCTGCAATGACTTAATAAAACTGCTTTCACATTAGAACACAGAACTTGGAGTAACTTAAATCTGTTTCCAGGCCATGGTCACTCATATTTGGATCCAGAATAAAATGTCTCTTATCCTCTTTGAGGTCAGTATTGTGATTTCTGTATCAAGAAAGTGAACACTAAAAGGTTTCGTATAATATTTAAGGGTCCAGCCTTAAATTTATATAATTCCATATATAAGGGGCTCGGGAGAGACACTACCATCGGCTTGGGAATGAATCCCGTTGCTCAGAGCTCTTTAGTTCAATTTGTCTATTCCTCAGTCCTCATCCTTCAGCCACCAGTTCAATTCTCCAATCTCTCCTTTCCTTGGTTCCTTTTCCCCTCTTCTCTTAGTTCCCTTAGTTTCAGTTCTCTTAGTTTCCCTACATCCTAGTTCCCTCAATCCTTAGTTCCCTCCATTCCTCCCCGCTTCTCCCGGGGCTGGTCTACATCCTATCCTAAACAGTAACACCTTCTGTTTTGGATACAGCACAAGATTATAGGGATCCCCTCTAGAAGCTTCCTGGCGATTTTATTTGCAACCCAAAAGGGGAGAGAGAAGAGTGGAGTCCGTTAGCAGTTGAAATAAATCAGAAAAGGAATTTGTGTGCTGGAAACATATCCTTACTGTGGTTGGGTGAAGGCATTTTGAGTCTATCATAAACGTGTTCAACTCTAAACTCACAGGTGATAGGGTAGGGAAAGTCTGTAGGTCACTAAAAGTTAAAACTGTCACTTTTTTCCTCTGCCGCCAGTTTCCTGGCAGGGCAGGGGAAGAGTACTGATAGCTAGTCAATCTGCATCACAGCTTGAAACGCCTGGTAAGAGGAAAGTCCTTTTTGACCTAAGAGGTTCTCTGGGGTGATGAGAGAGAAAGAGGAGGCCTTGATTTGTACAAGAAACAAAGCTTGTTTGTCTAGTTGGCAGGCATTTGGCCTGTGAGACACGCAGTCTCAGAAAGGACATTTTATCTCAGTTCTGGGGGTTTTCAGGCGTCTAACAGATAGCCTGGTAGCTGTCTGTTCCTTGCTTGTCTTTTAAGGCTTTGTTGGGGGTTGACTCTATCTTAGGAAGTAGCTCAAGGAGAGTATTTGCAAATGGCAGATACCCAAAACAAATGCTAAAGAGGAGGCCTGGAGCTCAGAGGCAGAAGGTTCTGTCTATGTGACTATCCAGGTGCTTTGAAACAAAGATCCACACACACATACACTTTTTAGGAGAATTATGAGTACAAGGAATTCATAGCAAGGCACAACTGAATATTAAGCTGCATAACATCAATAGACCTTGCTGATTGGCTTCCCACTCGACTGACCCTTGGCCTTGTCAAGGTATAGCTTATAATATACAACTGGATTTCTATTTCATATTCCTGTGGCTCACCACAAAAAGGGAGGTAGATCAAGCAACAGAAGTATTTTTACAAAGTTTAATTAAAATAAGGATATGGAAATATAGTAGAGGGGGTGTTGGGTAAAGGCTGACCTAAGAAAGAAGGAAACAGCCTTTGAAGGAAGAAACAGTGGTAGAATGTATGAAAGAGATGATTCAAAGGCTAGTAGGACACAGTAAAGGCTCTGAGGCAGGAGGATGCCTTCAACTAAGTATAAAAATTTTAAAAATATATAAACTTTTGAAAACAGAAGATGTCTTTTTTTTCCTTCTTTGTAAAAGGCCA